GCCAAATAGAGGTTCAGTTGGAATAGTGATCATATAAGTCCGAATGGATAAAAGCTTCCCAGCTTTAAAGTATTCGAATCTCTACCCGCTGGTGGAAGCAGAGGAAGAGGAAGACCTCCACTCCGTTGAAAGGATCAGATTTAGAGTGACCTGGCTTTCCTTGGTATTTCCAATTGGCACCATTTAATTCGGCTATAATGTAATTTGCTAGACACAGTACGAAAGTGAAATATTTTCGCGCAAAACAAAATCATTTTACCAATCATTTTTTCAAAGAAGAAAAGGTTGTAGAGTTTTCCCAAGAACTTAATTTTTCAAGAAAATCAAAAGTTTACAAATTTTTGATGTTTATTGTCCGAAGATAAGTTGAAGAGCTCTTTTTTATAATGGTAAAAAATATTGATCAGTGAAGGCATCATATATATGTATTTTTATAATTGTCGTTTTGTAACCGCTAAAATGATTTTCGGCGTCTTGATGTTTTTCCAACAAAATACCTGGACCTAGAGTTTATACTAAGCCCCGTCCGAACGGCTGATCAAATTTTGTGAGGACGTGAAACCGCAAGAAGCTTTTAAGAGATTATAGAGCTCTTTAGTGGAAGTGAAATAAAGCAGAAAATGTTGTTTGGATGGCTTTGTCTTGAAGTGTGTCATACTTTTCTTGGTTATATAAATGCTGAAAACTACTTGCAAACCATTTGAGTGTTTCTTTTTGCTTAGGAAACTCGAATACGTATCAATTATTTCACTTAAAACATTTTCCAGAGTCGATAAATCATAGACTTCCTCAATAATTTGGTGTGTCAGGTTCACGAGTTAAGTTGAGTTGGCGGCCGGCCAATACCAGAAAACTTTGGCCAATAAAACCATTCTGATATCGCAATGAGGCTACTGCGTGCGCCTTCTCAGATGCTCGAAACATTGCGTGTGCCTTATAAAAGCAATGAGATTTCTAAATCTCGCTGAATTTAGATCAGCGGGACAGTCGAAGAAGTATTTCTTGAGGAATTTGTGTCGAGAAGATGTCAAAGATGCATAGTGACAAAGGTAGTGCTCAATGTACTCTTCCTCTTCTACGTTCTTACTGATGCGGCAAAAATCATTCAATCAATAGTCAAGATTTTTCCATTAAAAAGTGGTCTGTGTTGTGGCCAATTTTTTTTTTACACTCACATATTTATTTATTATGGAAGCCCCACAGTAACTTTGGGCAAGTAATGAAAATAAATCTATGCAAAAATGTTTATTTTAGCATGTAGATATTTGAAATAATTTTGCCCAAACTCAGTTAGAGTTGAAGTGGTTTAATCTGTAAATTTCACTTGTTTTCATTTATATTATTTTTTATACTCAAAATAAAACCCTTTACAAATTATAATAAACTAATCATTCAAATACTTATAAAAAACGAATCATTTTTTGTATTATTTGTAAATTAAAATCCACCTCTTATGTCGATTGCATATGTGACTTCATTTGGATCAGCAGTAGTTGTAACATCAGCGGCGACAAAATTTAAAACCGTTGTTGTTGTTTCATATCCCTTACGAATATTTGTAGTCGATTCTTCAGTTGTTGTCATAATTTTGTGTGTAATTGGCGAAATTGTTGTTGTCGTTGTTTGCGTTGGTTTCTGCCTTGTTTCTTCTTCATTTTGCTTACCACCACTTGTCTCTAACGATTCAGCACTCTCCCACTCACGCTCGCCATTGCCATTGTTGTTGTCGGAATTAGCAATATGAGCACGTCTATCAGCTCCGTTATCTGTGCCCTTTTGCATATCTTCGCCGCTAAAATTGTCATTATCGTGCTGGTAGAGACCAGCATGCCACCGGTGATGATGAAACCTATGCCTTCTGTGTGGTTCATGCAAATGCCATGGATGCGATGGCTCCTGCTGTGCCGTTTCGGCACCCAATATAACATTTAATCTGGGCATATGTAACCTGGTAGTTGAGTGACTAAATGTGTATGGGGGAGTATTACCACTTGGATTTTCAGAGTCCCGATTAGTCGCCAACACGTTTATGAAATCCAAATCATTTTTATGGCCATGTCCACGATGGTGTCGGGCCCGATGCCTCTCCCAAGGATGTTGCTGTAAGTACCCGCGATTGATATCCTCTTCGCTACTTTCGCTACTCAAGTCTACCAATTTCCGTTCATGTGGCCGGCGATGGCACCCATGCGCCGATATATCTGTAATGCATAGCGCGCAGCAGTACAAAATTATTGCGATATTTATTGATTTTTGAGCGGTCATCGCAATTGCCAGCACGCGATGTCTATCAATGATTTGTTTTGACTAATTTTGAAATGCCTGAAATTATTTGAAATAGCTTTCAGTAGAATGCTTATCAGCGTTTTAAACCAGAGGTTATCAGGCATTTGGCAACTTTGTTTACATTTAGTAAGAATTAAGCGTTTTAATGCTTTTTTTTTGGCTAATTTTATTCCGAGTAGTTTTCGTAATTTAATTTCTGCTTTCTATTTTATTTCTTTTTAATTAATATGTGTAAGTAATTGTGCTGTGGGTTGTGAATTTCATATTAATGATTTATAAACAGGGTCACTCGTGGTTTGCTATTTTGCGACCGTTTCTATTTTTGCACCGATATATATTTTTAAACATTTTTCATTTAATTTTTTTATTAAAAGTTGGAAATTAAACTTTTATTGCTTTTTTGCATTATTTTTAGTTCGGCTATGAAGAATTATGCTCGAAAGTTTGTCCGCGGCAAAAACGCCCAGAGAAAATATTGACGAACTACCTTTGCTTAGACGGAAAAGATGGTAATCACATGGCGCAGGACCGGTCTATAAGGTGGGTGCATTAGGACCTTCCATCCGAGCTCTTGGAGCTTCTTGCGCGTTTGGCCATTGATGATTTCTTGCCAATCCCACCAAACACACAGCAAACTCTTCCTGGCCGTCAATCCGGTCTTGGCCACCATCTGGGCCGCTTCTCCAAACTTTGACCACGACCGTTTGCGTTCAATGTTGTCGTAAGTGATCCATTTGTCATCGCCAATTACAATCCGCTTCAGAAACGGGTCGATTTTGTTGCGATTCAGCAGCGATTCGCAGATGGAAATTCCGTCAATATCAATATGTATAATCTTAATGCAGGTTCCAATGCAAAACCTTTTAGACCATACAGCCGGAGAAATATTGGTTCTACAAAATGGTTTAATATCAAAAATGAAAAATGTTTTACGTTGCACGGTAATAGCAAGCTACCGTTCTGATGGATCTACTGATCAAACCTTATATAAGCCGAAGTTTCGGTCAGAAGAATCGTTTCCATGGGCTTATCCATCAGCACTTTGATACCACTAAAATAAATCTGTAAGGTTCTGCAGGTCACTCCAAATTGAGAATGTAAAGGAGAGCCATGATAAAATATTAATAGAAATAGGATATTTGGATATGCAAGTCGCTGATCTAAAGGATTTCATATACACAGAAGAGGGCAAAACAAGATGACACTTATTAATGGAAGAGTACTTAACGCTTTAAATGACCCACCTCTATCAAACTATAAAACAATCACATCAGCAATGGAAACGAAGATTCTAACTATGCTGAAGATTTTAACGATTATTTTGAAATTGAGTTGGATGATGAAGAAGTTTAAATCTATTTGTAAGTAAAATTCAAAAATAATATTAAAAAAAAATATATTTTTCTCCTTTGGCCCACACCCACCCACAAGGATTGAAAAACTCTATAATAATATTCAAAATTTTATGTGCCAGATTTGAACACTCTAGCTTTAATTTCGGCCTTTTTGCCTATAAAGCATGGTCCACGCTTCCGCATTATATAGCAGAACAGGAATAATGAACGATTTGTAGAGATTGGCCGAGAGAGGACTTTACTTTTCAAGTGTTTACTCAGTAGCAGCTGCTGACTGTCAACAGACTGAAACTTCGTTTGGTATCGAATGACTTGAAGAGGTTTTCTCGATCCCGACGAATATTTTATTATTGCTTATTTACGTATAGCTGTGTACGTTTAGCGGAGATATCAGACATAGCGTCATAGATGCAGCTCCTATTGCTGCTGCTTTAAAATCGACGAAGAGGTGGTGTGTCCATGTCTGCTCAATGGTTGATTTACTAAGTCTAAAGTCACACTGATAAGACCCAATGAGAGTCTCACTATATGCTCGATAGAGCCATAAATGCGATATAGAGGAAGCTTACACAACGATAACTGGAGTAGGCTGTTGGATCTCTCTACTTATGGGTTGGGAAGAGCACGGGTCATGCTTTCATCCGACCATATTTCTCAGGCCTACACCGCCGTATCTGAATCTAACAATCCGTAAAAGAACACTAGAGATATGTCTCCTGTCTATCACAACATGATCGATTTGGTTTTGAATTTTTCGAGCTGTAGACAGCGAAGTTGCTTGATGAATTTTCTTGTACTGGAATCTAGTAAAACAGACAGCTAAATATATCCCGGCGCAGTCGATCAGCCTTAACCCCTGTGTGGATGCCAAATTGTCACAAGTACTTACTCATTAACGCCTTTGTCCCATAAACCGGATTTCTTGGACGATGGTGATGTCAGCCTTTATTCTTACGAGAACATCAAACAGCTGGGCAATGGCAACTTGCCAATTAAGAGATCGGACATTTCAGGTGCATGCCCTAAAATCAGAGTCCAAAATGTTACGTTTGCAGTGGTTTTCATCCGAGGCTTTGAAAAATTGTTCATTGGAGCTGGTTTCCAATCTTATAGAATCAATATTCTTCTACTAACAAGCATCTCTTAGTAGTTCATATAAATATTCAAAATGCAATAATTTATTACTATATTTTTAAAATAAAATTCCAAATGTAAAATATTTAAATTTCTGAAGTTTGTTTTGAAGCAATAAAATATCTGCAAATAACTTTATATATACTATATATGAGTCAATTATTTCATATTCCCGTCACTTTGAGTTAGTTTTGAGCAGGATCAGCAGCACAAACAACACTGTAATTCAGAAAGTCGAAGATGAAAGTTTATTATGCCGAATCACGTGACTATTATAAGAAACACCTTAAGTCATGCGCAGCCTACTGGATCTAATTCTCGTAAAAAATTTAATAGAACTCAGTCATAAATACATACGGGTTCGCGTAACAATAGTAAATTAAATGTAGGTAATATTATAAAATTGCTTAAATAATGCTGATAGTAGGTCAAGTTTTGATGAAGTCCTTTTGATGTTCCGACTTCTGTTCAAATGCATAGTTGATATAACAAACTGCAGGTACGAATGTTGATGGGATCATATATTCTTTACGATTTCAGAGAAGAGGGAAAAATTGATTTCCATTCAATGCGATTTTTGCTTTTTTGACTTTATCCACGTGTTGGGAAAACATTTCTATTCCTCGGTCGAGGATTCGTTTGAAAATTAAAACGTAAATTTACATCAATTGTTTTTCCTCCCTCACTGTTGGTTAATGTTGCGGTTCTTGATTTATCCAAAGGTTGACTGCCCCAAATTCTTTCTCTTTCTATGGGTTCCTCTAAAATGAGAAAAATAAAATCTATCATCAATAGTGTTCCACAATTTTTTTGATATTTATGTAAGTAAAAATATACACAGTTGACTCTCGTTAATTCAAATTTACGAATTATAGAGGGTTTGATATACCAATGGTTCAAAATTTTTGAGAGAAAAGAAATAAATCTACGAATTATTGGTATTTTTGCAATGACAAAAGTAAAAGGGGTACATTTTCGTAATGTGAATTAATTAATATTTCGAGTGAAATCAAAAGGCTGTTGTTTAGACTGTTCGATAAGTATTATTTTAAAGAAGAAGTGCCTGTAATACTTTTCCTATACTTTCGTTCCGTATACGGAAGCTTTGTAATGTGTCGAATGAGGCTCTTGCTTTCTTAACAGCAACTTCTGCCAAAGGTGCTAATCGTCCTCATCTTCAGAGCTGCTTTTTCGTTGGAATCTATCGCAGATTCAAATTTGGTAATCGGCTAGACAACATGATATGCCAACATCTGCATCCACTTGAACAAAGTCCGGAAAAGTTACATCGCTCCAGTCAAGAAGTAGTTCTGTTGATTTATCATCATCCATAATTATTGGCATGGACCGTCTGAACCGTGTTATTTGCAGTTTGCTGCGTTTTCAGAGAGTTTAAAAAGAACTAAACAATTTCTATGCGGTAGAACGCCCTAAACTTATAGATGATTCATTGGTCCAATAGTTGCAATTCAGAAATTGTATTCGGCGGAAAGAAGTTGAGGTCTACATCGGACAAAGTAGGAGGACCGTTGTGGATAATGCAGTTAACTAAAAAGGGCATATTTTGCCGCTTTTGTCGTTCCCTGTCCTCACTTACTGTAAAAAGCCAATAGTTAAAAAGTTTTGTAATCATCTAAGATTTTGCATTTGACATGAATTTGCTGTAATTAACTTTAATTTTTTACTTTTAACTCCCTGTGATCTTGAAAATAGAAATAAAAAGACAATTAAATTGTTTCCATTGTAATTTAAATTTCTTTTTTTTTAACTTTTACAGAAAATTTCTGTTTTTATTTATGGATTTATGTTTTTATTTATGCCTCTCTGAAAAAGGTCTGGCCACACTGTTGGTAACATTCAAATAGACTGTTTCTTTTGCTTCGTTGACTAAATAATTTTTTGCTCATTTTCGAAAATTCTTAAAAATTTTCAAAATTTTTTCTTTTACACTTTCTCATGGTATTTTTAATCGTTAATAAAGTTCAACCAACAGTTTTCGAAAAAAAATATAGGGATTCACCCTCCAGCCGTTTTGAAAAACTGCCGAAAATAATTCACTCATTTTACACATCTTTATTTTGGAGTTTAACGTTCATATTTTCACATAACATATACGCATAGTATTTTATAGTTTATGACGGCGTTTCACAAAAACCTTTTTGAATCGTGAAATATCATACAAATATCACTATATATTATATTGAATCTCGTGATATTCGTTTTCATTTACCTTTTCTATTTGTTTTCTCGGGGTTAAAAGCTACTGGTGCCCAGTGCACATTTCTTGTACCCGTATGTGCACCCACTTGTCGATCCATATACATATTTGAACTCTCATCTTCGTTATTTATATTTGTACGCAATGTTTGAGCTACATTACGTTGATGCTGATTATGCGCTGCATTGTAGAGATCACTTTCAAAGAAAATTAATTCAGAAGATTTATATGTGGAACCGCTTTCGATGATTGCGAGCAAAGCAAAGTACAATAACAAAGATGCTTTGCAATATGTACACTTTGTGATAACTGTTCTCAGCTCCATACTGTTCCACCGACGGTTATTAAAAGACTAAAATAAAAAATATTTATATACAGTACATAGTATATTTAATATTAATCAGTTTAAAAGTTTCTACTTTTCTTCGGAATTTTTATACTAACATACATATCACTACCGGCAGAAAGTAATATATGCTCGTGTGTTAATATGTACATTATTAGACTGGAGCAAAATTTATTTGAAATTGTTGAGCTCGTATTTGTAGACAGATTTGGTGAGCGCAGCAACACAGTTTCATTTCATTGATAAGTGAATTTTTCCCGGTGGCACATTTACGATACGATCTAATGAACCTACTAGTACAATCTAGAAACGAGAAGGTTTAAGTTCTAATAAAGGGTATTCCAATTAGAGGTGTTATTTTGATTGCAAAGATGAAATTTTTTGATATAAATGATCGGATGATTATTTCAATGTAAAAAGGAAGATATGCCATTAATAAAAAAAAAATAACAGCCAAATGACCACCACGGTTACGCTTACAAGACCGTATTCTTTTTATAAAATTTTCAATCACGAAATCGCAAAGTGGCCTCTGTATGCCCACAGTAACTTCGCGAATTCCAATTTTGAATCAACGTTGGCCTATTGGCGTGGACTTAATCTTTCAAAATTATAAGATCTCGATGGCCAATTGCGATCAGCTTCTCCAGAGATAACATGGTCCGAAAACGTTCGCACTAAATTATCGATACTTTCAAGGCTTGTAGAGCGCGTAGTGCTGTCTTATTGAAAACAACGTTATCCAAATCAATGCTATTCAATTCCGGCAATAGAAAATCATTAACCATCTCTCGATTGCGTAATCCAATCACGAGAACTGTTGCACCAGCCGCATTTTCGAAAAAGTAAGTTCGAAATACCCCGCCGGTCCATAAACCGCATCCAAGAGTTACACGTTGAGGATGGAAAGAATTTTCAAAACTAAAACTTGCGCCATATGCGACAATTTTACTTACTAACGTAGCCATCAAAGTAGAAATGGACCTCATCAGTCAAGATTTTCGATGAAATGCATACAGCGAATTTTAATGCGTTGTTCCATTTTTACTACCGGCGTAGTTTTTATTTGTCAAATGTCAAAAATTGCAACTTCAAAAGTGACATCTACGGTAGGTGCTTGATCCCACTTAATGAAAAACCCTTTATAAGTGACTAATACATCTATTGCACAGTGTTGCAAAGCTGATAAATTTTAAGAATTTTGTCACTGAGTTAGGTAGTTATATTTCGAATTATAACAGATGTGAGACTTTTAAGTTCTTTAAAACAATTATACTTTTCCTACATAGCTTCATATTTAATTCACCCCTAACATCCTGTTTGTTAGAATAAAACGCTATTTTAGTGAAAGAAAATAAAATTTAATAAACTCTGTTTTTCTAATCATTTTGTTTTTTTTTTCGAGTGGTTTGTCATGTATATAAGTACGTATGATTTAACATCACGCCCTGAATTATTTTTCAAAAATTTCTTCTAAAAAGTGCATGGTACTCCCACTTGTTGTATCTAGCCTGAAAATATGAAAACGAATATGTCCTTTTAATAAAATTTTTTCTTCAAAAATTACTTGTTATTTTACCTAAATTCTTTCGAACAAATTTATTTAAAGAAAATTGGAATAAAATACCTTAAAATTAATATTATTTATAAATAGATGGAGATTCAAAAGGTTCGATTAGATTTCTGTTCATTTGGCATGGAATTGCTGTATTGTAATATAAATAACAATAGGCGGCAATATTTTAATGAAAACTCATTTGATTGCTAAATTAATTTTTCATGTTTATGGAAATATTTGTACTAAAAATTCTACATTTACAACACTGTGCGGCAACATAAGTTGGAGAAAGATTTATATACATACACGTATACATATACAATACCTGATTGTATATATTTTTTTTCGTTCCGACGCGCGGGAAGTATATTTAATATTACTCACTTTCATTCTCAGAGGAACGTAAAAAAGTATTTATATATATATGTATGTTTCATAATTTAGTTTTTTTTTCTGTGCTTGTTAAAATAATAATACTCTTGCTAATAGAAAATAAAATTGTATTATCATATATGTGAAGAAGATTGGTGTAATTAACATAGAAGTTATTTCGTATTGATTGTATGATAATAATATATTTATAAAAAATGGACTCGTATATGAAATATCGATTTAGAAATTAGACGAATACTTCGGTCAATAATGTTTTTCTGCGAAGTAATACATCTGTCAAGTTTCAGCAGAATACTTATTAGTCACGCGCATTTTTTAAGCTTAATAATTTTCTAATGTACATAATATGTTGTTGCCTTGATCTCATCCGTCAGTGAACGTAATTTATCGGTCATTTAAAATTAATGGACAGATAAACTATTGTATTGTATATCTTCAAAGAATCTTTATATTATTCGATTTTATCAGTGAAGTAGTCATTATTTCTTTTGTGAAAAATTAAAACCGATTTTAGAAAAAACAAAAAAAAAACAGAAGAAATCAAAAAAAAAAAAAAAATTAACACAAAGAAAAATAGTTAAAGTAATATTAAATAGAATAATATATAAAAAAAAAAACAATCTATCGAAATAATAAAAGAAAATAAAAAATAAAATAAAATTAAATAAAATAAAATAAATTAAATTAAATAAAATCAAATCAAATAATAATATAATAATATAAACTAAAAAAATAAACAATAAATAAATAAAATAATAATATTATCTAAAATAAAATTAAAAAATATTTATTCAAGTAAAATTATGATAATAAAAAAAACATAAAAAATAAAATAAATTAATCAAAAACAAAATAAAATTATATAAAATAAAGTTAAATAAAATGTATTAAATTGAAATAGAAAATAAACAAAATAAAAAAATAAATAAAAAATAATAAAAATAAAATAAACAATAACAAAATAAAAAATAAAATATTACAATTTAAAATAGTAAAAATGTAATTAAATAAATACATAAATAAAAAATGAGGTAAATAAAATAAAACAAATTAATTTAAAATAAAACAAACTGAAATAAAATAAAATAAAATAGTCTAATAAATTTAAAGCGAAATAAATAAAATAAATTAAGAGAAAATCAAATTAAATAAATTAATATAAAACAAAGAAAACTAAAAATAAAATAAAATAGAAAAGGACAATAAAAAATTAATTAAAAAAAAGAAATTTAAGGTAACATAAATTAAAAACAGGTAAAAAAAATAATTGAACTATATAAACATTAAGTAAAAAATAGAATAAAATAAAGAGACAAAGTATAATAAAATAAAACAAACTAAAATAAAATTAAAAATATTAAAAAAAATAAAATAAAGCAAATTAAAATAAAATAAAGAAAAAATATTTCAAATAAAATAAAATATAGTAAAATTAAATGAAAAAACAAAATAAAATATTAAAGCTTAAAATAAAAAAAAAATATAATAATGTAGTATATATAAAAAAAAACTAAAATAAGATAACATAAAACCAAATAAAATGAAATAAAATAAAATGAAATAAAGTAAAATAAAATAAATTTAAGGAAAATAAAATAAAATGATATGAAATAAATAAAGTAAAATAGCATTAAACAAAAAAAAATTTAGTTTTGTTAACAAAGAGTATAGAGTAAGGTAACACAAATAAAAAATTTGTAAAGTAATAAAAAAATAAACAGATTAAAATAAAACAATATAAAATAATACTAAATAAAATGAAACAAAAAAATTATATTTTTGAAATATAATAAAATAAAATAAAATTACATTAACAGGCCTATTCTGTCGAGCTAACAAATTTTACCTAGGTATTAAAATTTACCATTCAGTAAATTTTGTTACCATTTCGTATTCTGAGCTCACTGTTACCCTGTAAATTTTGTTACCAGCGAAATTGGAGGTAACAAAATTATCTGCTGTTTGATTTTGTGTTGTAAGTTTGAGAAAAAATAAAAAACCAAAATGGTCTGGCATATTTCAGGCCTGGAATTCATTGATGATGAAGAAAAAAGTGCAAAAAGCCGTATTTTGTTTTTGACACTAAAAAATAGTCCTTTAATTTGTAAGATTCAGCTTTTTTTGTTGTCCAGGCATATTTTCCATAATTAGGTTCAAATATTTATGATTTAATAAACAAATTAATAAAACTTTTTAACTTTTTTTTGTGCACCGTCTTCCTATTCGGTGTGAATATTTTTCTTTTTACATTATCAACTGGCAAATGTAATTTGACATGGACGAAAAAAGTAGTGCTGCTAAATTTATTTCAAACATTGTATCCAGTTCGCCAGAATACCAAATTCAATTTTGGGTGTTAATAAAAAGTAACAAAATTTACTTTACCGGTAACAGTGAGAATAGGCCTGTAAATAATAAAAAATTAATTAAATACAACATAAAATAATATATAATGAAAGAAAATCAAATCAAATAAAATAAGGTTGAATTAATCTAAGTGAAATAAAAGAAAATAAACTTAAATGAAATTAAATAAATAACAAAATAATTAAATAAAACAAAATAGATTAATAATAAAATTAAATGAAATAGAATAAAATAATGAAACTAAATGAAACCAAATTAAGGTAAGCTAAACTATATAAGGTAAATTTAAAGAAAAAGAATTAAATGAAATAATAATAATGAAATAACTAAAAAAAACAAAATAGAATTAAATTATTTGTAAAATAACTGCTTTGACAAAAAATTAAATATTCCAAACTAAAATTAACTAAAAAAAAGGATAAAATATATATAAAAAAATTCGAAATTGAATTAAAAAAAAATAAAAAAAATTATAAATAAAACAAAAGTAAATAAATAAAAATGAAATCATATAAAGCAAACAAAATAAAAAAAAAATTAATTAAAATATAATTATATGAAATAAAATGCAATAAAACAAAATAAATAAAATAAAATAAATAAAGAAAAAAGAAAAAAAATTAATAAATAAGCTAAGAATATTTAGTTATAATAAAGTAGCATTAAGATAGCTATGATATGAGAAAAAAATTAAAATATTTCCTAATTTTATTATCTTTAACTTAGAGTGTGGCCTTTAAATATTGGCAGCAATTGGGCAACCTATAAAAATGTTAAGTCAGTCGAAATTTTAATAAATTTTCAACCAGTTTTCTTAATTTTTATAGTTTTCTCGAAATTCCAGCTTTTTAATGAAAACTCGGACTATTATTTGTTATTCGTTTATATGTAATTATGGGTACTTGTTTCTATTGGAAACATTTGAATGACATTGTTTGTTGAAAGATTCATTTTTGCGCTGTCTACAAAATAATTTTTGTGTACCATGGATTTTCTAAATTTTGCAGCACCAAATATTATTATTGATGTGGTACTAACGGTAACAGATGAGTGGAAATTTTCGCCCTTGAAGAGGAAGACAAGTGAAGGAAAGTAGCATTTCCTTAAATGTAATTACGCAAATATTTACCCATTATAATATTTTAAATTGTTATGCTATAACGTAATGTCAAGCCATCGGCGAAGCATGACAATGCAGGTGCAATGGACTGTTAATTTCAGGAAGGGAACAGCAACAGCCAACAAACTGCCAACAGTGACCAAAGTCGCTTCATATAAGTAATCGATATATTTAACAATCTCTTGTGATGCTAAAAGTACAACTTACAAATTTTTTCCATTAAACGTCAATATTAATATTTACAAATGATCCGCTTGAATGCCTATCGCCCACTAAGCGTAGGAAATATGGTCGTTATATAAATTGCTTTATTCGGATCGCTCTAATTTAGTATTGCTTTGTTGAACAACTGTCGCGGATCGTAAATACACATACATATGTAAGTGCGGTGAAAATTTCGCGAATAAAAACTTCCTGCGTATCCTCCTGACCCGTACGCGAATTCATGTGCTATTGGCGTAAAATGCGTAAGCCGTTTCTTTTTGTTGCCGTTGTCATATTGATAGTTTTGGTGCAGGTTATTATCAGTGCGCCGGTACGAAAAACTATACGCGTCCAATTGAATACTGACTATATGCGAGCCATGGGTGCTTACAAACGACTGGGGTCTCGATTGCCACGCGAGGAGTTACGTGTAATTACCGCTATTGGAGTTTTGAATGGCGCGCGGTATGCAGAGCAACTTATGGAACGTAATCTAGTGGATATTGTGAGAGAGCTATTGCTTGAATCAGATGGGCTTAATGATGACGAGCTTGTCTCTAAAGTGCAAAACATTGAAAGACAATTATCACGCGATCACCGTGCTCTTATGATATTAACAAGTGCCATGGACTTGGTGACAGGTGCGAAGAATGTGTACGATTTCAAAGCGGATATGCAGCAAACTTTACAGCAGGTACGAAGACAATCGTACGGTGGTGCTGATGAAGAGATTTCACAGGAGATAACTGAACAGCCCGTGGAGGGTGGTGAAGAAAATAATGTTTCGGAGCGTGTGGCAGCGCTAAGGCGTCAGATTGAGCAGCAAGTACGCGCAATGAAAAATCTGGTAGAAGAGAAAGTTACACAAACGTTAGACTATTTGATTTCCAACGCGGACAAAGGTAGCCTTCTCGAACAAGCTAGCAAGAAGGTTGTACGAAAGCGAAATGCTCCCGATGCACGAGAGGTGCCGGCAGAGGTTCGCATGATAAATTCCATACTGGATGAAGTAAGTAATATTCAATAATAAGTTGTTACAAAGTAGATCGCCAGATATCAGGATAAAGGAGCAATGAAAGCAGATCACCGCAAAGACGTTCTAAACTCAATGACTCAACTATTTATTCTTCTCTTCTCCTTTTTTATTGGCGCAGACATCGCACACAAGAGTGTACAATTCTTTTTAGGCCAGGTCATTATCTCGCTCATCTTTCCAACGGAGGGAAGTTTTTCCTCCGACTCTACCAGCAACGAAAAGTTTCCAAGCTGGAGTCTTGTTTTCCATATGGACCCATGAACCGACAGGAACTATCTGTTTTTATGCGGAATTATTTCAATTCCACCGTATATCTCGTAAAGCTCATCGCTCCATCGATGCGGTACTCCCGGCTCCCAATGCACAAAGCACCGTAAATCTTATGCAAACCCTTTCTCTTGAAAATTATTAACGGCGGTCGGATGTTGTCATCCTTCACGCTTCCACACCGTATAGCAGGACGGGAGTGACCTGCAGAGTGGTTTTTGCTTTTCAATTGCTTACTCACCGTAAAGTGACTTTTGTTGTCAACAGTGATTCTGTGTTCGCTTCTCAGGCTCACGCTGTTATTGGTCGGTATTAGTTCCACTTCAGTCGCTTCCTTATCCAGTATGAGAAAGCAGAACTCACAGTACGGCTGTTGAGGCCAATATTCAGGTCAATATCATCGGCGTAAACCAGCAGTTATACACTTTTATAGAAGATTGCACTTTTTCAATTCAGTTTTGTGGCCCATAATATTATAGCAGATGTCGCCATGTCAAACCCCATTTGGTGTCAAACAGCTCGGAGGGCTTTTCCCGATGTCGGGGTGTTTGTCAGTTAAGTTTTTCAGAATACCTTTTCGTGATGTTGAAGGCTGCTTTAAAAACGACGAAGAGGTTGTGTGTCCCGATCTTCTTCTCAAAGGTTTTTTTCAAGATTCGGCGGATGGTGAATATCTCACCAAGCGTGTATACAGAAGGTCTAAAGTCACACTGATAAGGTCCAATCAGTTTGTTGATAGTCTTTTACACAATACCTCCGATAGGATCTTGGCGATGTTGAGGAAGATTATCCTGCTGTAAATGGCGTATTGAGCACAGAGCACGCTTGCGTTGCAATCGTCGGCCATATTTTCATTTGAACATATTCAGCAGCTGATGCCACAACTTATCAGCTCTTTGCTGCCACATTTAAATAGCTCTTGTGTTTTTTTTTTCAAACGGGCAATTGCTTTTCGACCTTTTCGAGGTGTGAAACGTCTGTCCTATCATCGTCGATTGGGGTAGCGGGGTCGCCATGTCCTGGCGTTCCATTTTCACTGTCATTTAGCAGGCTGAAGAAGTGTTTCGTTCATAAATTGAGTGAATTCTGAGCATCAGTCACTGCATCATCTTTCTGGATCCTACAAGAGTTGTCACCGATCTTGGAACTTTCTGCGAATTAAATGCTCGCATTTCGATGTTCCTTACATTTTTAATGAATAAACATAGAAAGCTCAAATTTAATTAGGAACGGTTATTATCACTCGAAAGAACATTCTTTGGCATTTTTTTTTTAGATTATCTTATTTAAATGTTAGTAGCGGCTATGTCTAAGATGGTCCATCCATTGAGTCTAATTTTTGATGATTCCTTCGAGCATTTCGACTGGTAAATGGCGAATGACAGGCATGATCCTTTGCTGCGAGGCCGGAATCGAAGCGTCATTACATTTCCCCACAGGAAAACGTCTAACGGTGTCCACAAGCTTAGTGACTAATGCTCACCGAAGTGTTCTTTCTATAAACCCATTGATCGCTACGATGTATAAGAAAAGTCGCCAAATGTTGCCGAGATTCCTAAAATCAATTTTAGGCATCAAGTTGTCGGCTACCAAGACGAGATAACGATCGCCATTGACGGTTACGTTCTCACCGACATCATTTTTGAAAAAATATAGACCCATGAATCCACCAGCCCACAAACCACATCAAACCGTTGTTTATTTTCTGAATGAAATTGAAGCTCTTGGATCTTTTCAGGTTGCTCTTTGTCCCAAATGCGGCAAATTTGCTTGTTTACATACCCATTGAGTCAGAAGATTCATCGCTGAATAAAATAATTTTTAAAAAGTCGGATCTTCTTGGAACTTTTCAAGGGCCCATAGAGAAAAGTGATTCCGCTTGGGGAGGTCATGCGACTTCAGTTCTTGCAGAAACTTTATACCTTTTCAATGTAAGCTCTCGGCGTGAAATGCGCCAAGTCATTTCATAGATCAGTCAGTGTTGCTTCGAACGGCATCGAATTTAACGACCGAAGCTAAGGCCGCTATATTTTCTCCACTGCGTACTGGACGTGGTCTATTCGGTCGAGTATTATCCTATAATGAATGCCGAGTTTCAGGACGAGTAATGGGGTTGGGAATACTAAGTTCAGTGTGACGATAGTGTTGACCATAACTGAGCGTTCTATAAGAGTATCGATAAAATTAATATTTTATTAATAAAAATACCAAATTCATTAACATAAATTTTGACTTTATATTTATTTATAACCAAAGTATTTTTCATATTGTTTAAAGGGTAGTTTTCTTCAATCACAGGAGGACTTTCGTAAAAATCTGGTTGATGCGCGTCTTGAAATGCGTAATAATGAGCTTATCGACGATTCGGAAGAAGAATTTGGAATACCGTTAAATACAAACAAAGTGAGTTTGTAGCGAAATAGTTTTTGTTTATAATAAATTATTTTTATGTTTTTGTTAGTTAAGTAGCGTTTTTGACTTATTTCGCTTGTACTAACAACATTTGCTGATGAAATGCTAATTATTTATTATTTAGAAAGTATATCGAATATAATAACTAAATTTTTATCTTAACTCAATATTAAAGTCTAAGATAGTCATTGAAAATCGCAGCAATAAAAATATGAAAAATACACCTACAACAACTACAACATATGCAACGACAACAGCAACAACAACAACAGTACGTACAGCAAGAGCTACTCAAACACAAAGCACGCGAGAAGCAGTCTCTATACCAACAACAACAACAACAACAACAACCACTTCGAGTCCCAAAACTATAAACGGTTCAAGTACCGCCTTTATTGATGTGAATGTACCGAAATTTGCTAAACAAGTAGAAGGAGAAATTTTAGTACCACTACCACTACCGCCGCCGATAGCTAACTTTGAGTCAGACGATGATTTTCCTGATGCTGGACCACCACCGCCTGACGCTGGTGGTGGTGGTGGCGGTTTGGTTGGCATTATAACGAGTTTGAGTGGAGTAAGTTGTGGAAAAGTTCCTTTTAAAACATTTAAATTCTGTATTTTAGAACAAATATTAGATTGTCAATTCCTTAAAATTTTCAGGGCGAGGGTGGCTCGGATATCGGTGCATTGATAGGAGCCCTAACTGGCGTGATTTCAACCTTGTTTGGTGTGAGTAAATTTGTTTTTCATAAATGAGTAAAATTGTGAGTGGTAAAATAGTAGTTTTTGAATGGTAATTTAAAAAAGATACACATTTTAAGCAACCATTTTTACTTTACATCCTACACAAAATGTAGAGTGTTCCAAAAGTAACGCAAGATTTGAATTGAATAGAAAACACAGCTTTTAGTTTTCAAATTGTGATTTTTCCATGAATCATAAAATATTAATAAATTAAATTCAAATTTATATGTAATATGTTATGTTATATGTAATAGTAAATATTTTATATATCTCACTATTTAATTTATTTCAGCCAGGCGGTTTAGATATTGAATCCTTAATTAGCACTGCAACATCGTTAATTTCTGGGCTGTTGGCGGTAAGTAAACAGCACTGAAATTCCTATTGTTTTTGACGATAGCAATTCAAGCTTAGATAACTTGTATATTTCGTTACACAAACATTATTTGTTAATTTCAAATTTTTAAATTTTATTTTAACTAATAACTTTTTTTGTTGCAAAAATATGTCCTTTTTCGTGGACTTCGCATCCCATTTTCCAGCGTCTCGTTGATAATAAACGATATCTCCCAGAAAACATTAGCTTTGAGCTGATCTATCGTCTGCGGCTGGTCGATGTAAACTTTCCGTCGGCGTCGAGCCGGGTGAGCGCGGCGGCCAGTCGGAATCGCCGTTTTTCGATATGAATCGTCGGTCGAACATCGGTCGGTGTGACTAGTGTGTGACGTGGCTCCGTCCTATTGGAGCCAGAGGTAGCCCATATCATTTTCAGTTGTTTTCGGATACACAGCGCCACTGCTTTATAGCGCTAGAAAATATGTATACTGCCCCATTATATTTTCAGTCGCTACGCCGCACCAAATGGACAATTTTTGATCATGGAGAGTCTCCTCGAATAACTCACAAAAATTTTCGTCTTCACAAAAGCGGCAGTTTTGCTGATTAACTGCGCCATTAAATGTGAAATGAGCTTCCTCATTTATCAAAATTTTGAAGTAAAACCCACCAATTATTACTACCCAATTAACTTCATATTTTAATTATTTCCCAGCTCCCAGTACGGGTTTCTCTCCTATAAGAAGTGTTATTTTGATATTCACAGAAAAACTATTAACAAATTGCAAAGTGGCTGCTGTATGTAGCTTCACGATTTCCATCTTTGAGATCTTGAATCGACGTAAGTCTGTTGGCGTGTACCTTATCTTTTAAGTGACCCCAAAGGAAGTAGTCGTAAGACGTTAAATTACAAGACCACGGTGGCCAATTGCGATCAGCTTTTCGAAAGATAACACGATACGGAAAGTTTTCCCTTAAAAAATCTATGGTTTCGTCGCTTTGATGAAAGTAAACGGTGTCCAGAACAGTACCATCCAATTTCGGCATTAAAAAAATCATTAATCATCTCTTGATAGCACAATCCATTCATTTCTCAAAAAGTAAAGTTCCGAAACCCACATAGGATAGTTATGCCATCGAGGTGGATATGGGCCACATCAGCCAAGATGACTTTTCGTTGAAATTTTAATAGTAAATATTAATAATTTCAACACTTTTATCGTGCCATGTTTATCACTCGCAGTTTTTCTTTGTTAAAAGTAAAAAAAAACCGACTGACGAACTCTTGCTTTTCTTGAATCGGCAATTCCGTACGCCATGGTATAAAGGTATTTTATTGGATAAGCAAGGATTTAAACTACAAATTGGTTTTTTGACTTAAAAAAGAAAAATTTAACAGTTCAAAACCATTTTACAATGAAAAGTTTGTTAAAACCCGTAGTTTCGGTTTGTTGCTTCAGTGGCTTTCACATTCAAAAAGCTATTAAAAAATCAGTACGGTGTGATATGTTTTTTTAAGTTTTTACATACAGAAAATTTCGTTCTGTTAATATGAAAAATAATCTTACCGAAATGAATTTGTTTCGTTTCGGCGCCATGTAATCGAAACGATAAGAAATTGTTAATGTTAAAACCGCAGAAACTCAGCGTTAACCTTAATTTTAAAATGTGTGCCTGCTTTGATATTAACAGAACACTTAAATTTTAACGTTCACCATTATCTGTTTACGACTTAGCATTGCCTGATAATGACTTAAAATTATCTGTTAACGATTTAAGAATATCTGTTAACGATTTAACTTTAACGACAACATTTGGTTTCACGTGGAAACGAAATAAAATTTATTTTGATGATTGCTTCAACGGTAAAATTTCCAAATGTTTCAGCCGAATTTGTTGAAATTTTTCGATTAACATGGAAATAGGGAAGGACTTGAAAGTCCTTACCGAACGTGAAATATAACGTTTGAAACATTAATATAATAATATCCGTTAGGAACATTAGGAACCACTATATATTTTTTTTTAATGAAATAGGATAAATAAAAATTTAAAACAAATAGCTGATAGCAATAATTATGTGTGCATAATAAGTTTTCTTTAACAGGGTAACAAAAATTTTGGCACAGTGCTGGGCATCTACATAGGCACAGCATTTGATGGTCTATCTGGCGGTGGTGGCGCGGTAAATATATTCAAATTAAAATGAAGGTATTTATAATTCGATAATTATTTCCTCTTTTCTAACATCTCAGGTGAATAATGGACAATTTTTTGGAAATCTACTTGGAACTGTTTACGCCCAACTCAGCGCAGTACATATATTTTTAAATTATTTATACAATAGTATTTCTTAATTAAGCCTTTAACTGACTAACAACTGTAAATAATCGCACGCTAACGTATTTTTAATTAACTTCATTTAGAATTAATGCAATGATTTTTCAATGGGTAAATGTATACTAAATTTTTTTTCTTACCTTTTCTTCCATTAGGATCCTGAAGACGATGATGCTCGTCCTAACCCCTTGTTGTTTGCGAAAAATCTTATTAGCAGTTTTGTAGAAGCAAAAAATCGCAAAGAGTCCGACGAGGAGGGTGATGATGAGCGACGGTCTGATTCACGTCATTCACATGGCAATAAGGCCAAAGCAGATGCGGGTGTAGGTGGCTCCGACTCCGGTGGCTTTATCAAGCATATTGCCTCACATATTGTCGGCAGTCTGGTCAATTTAGTTTTGAATGCTTCGTTGGGAGCATCAGGCGGTGCATCACATGCTTCTGCTTCATTATTTGGCAGTTCCAGTCATAAAGGTGGTGGCAATGGAGCTGGTGGTGGGGGACATAAGCATTAAAAGTACTTAAATTATATATAAGTTTATTTTTTATTATTTTATATTTGAGTTTTGTTTTTTTTTCGGGAAATAATCGCATCGTGGTTGCTGTTGTCGTTGCGTGTGTCGTTTACATAAAAAAAAAATGTTCCAATTTAACAACAAATCTAAAAGAATAAGAAAAAAGTTGCATTCACACACACACACACATATATATATATATATATATGCTATAGTCATCCTATTTCGATCATTTCCAGTACCCATAGGTAGTTCAATATATGTATGAAGAATATCGAGTTTCATTGTATTTCTAAAAAATCGCTCATATATAGTTTGAGCAAAAAGTAAGGTGAATTTGTTTGTAATATTAAAAATCTTTATTTATTCTTCAACATCGATCTCGTCGCCTTCAATTCACGCCGATTCACGTTTAATCTTCTCAATCGACTCAAAACGGTGTCCTCGCAGTGGTCTCTTGAGTTTTTGGAAGAGCCAGAAGTCACATGGTGCTAAGTCCGGCGAATACGGTGGTTGGAGAATGATATTCGTGGAATTTTAAGCGAAATGGTCACGAAGAATAAGTGCTGCGTGCATTATGTTGACGCAAAAACCACGAAGGCAGTTTTAGTCGTTTAGTAAACCCACGCGTAACTAAAATAGCAATAATGATATTGACATGAAATTTGGCGTAGATATCAATAACAGTGATACCAACATTAAGAAAGAATTAACCTCGATATTAAACGCGCGAAGCTCAAATTAAAAATTCACCTTACTTTTTGCTCACAGCTATATGTGTGTTGTTGTACTCCGATCTGGAGCATTCCGACAAATGGTGGTTTAAATATAACAATGCATCTGCGTTAGTAATGTCTCAGCTAAGAGACTTGTCTGCGTACAAATTGTCGGACATGGTCATATCAAATCAGCGTGGCATTCTGATCCGATCTGTATAAATATTGATCGGTTTTTCTCTTCTTCTCCTTCTAGTACTAACATACTTCGGACGAATGTTAATATACCATTTTAAGTAAAACGAATACTTTGCACATTCGTTTGTGGAGAAATGTAATCTATTTTCATAAACACAATTTAAATTCTATGAGAAAAAACGTATTTTTTTAAGAATTTCGTTTAAAAAATTACAAACTAGATAAGTCCATTTATATGTATTTATGTATAGATTTAGTGATATTACTCTTAAGCATTTTTATATCAGATAAAATTGTGATTTGTCATTAAAAATACATCTTTTACTTAAATCAGTGGTAGTTTATGGAATATGCTTTGCGGAAACAAGCTGAAAATTAAGGCTCCCTTCTCATAAGGTATCTGCATTCGAAAAGGGGAGGCATCGCATCCGAAAACGAAAGTTTTCTGTAAAAAATTTGATAAACATTTTTTGCAACCTAGATTAAAATTTTAGGCTAATATCAGTCAACGAATTTAAAAAAAGTTACTTAATCTGTGCCGTGGTTGTAGTAACCCTGCGATCCCTTTCCCTTCTCACGGCATCCTGTGTCGTGTTGAGTAAACGTGTGTTCATGGTTCTCGTCATAAAAATGACGTACGCAATGAGAGCTAGTTTTTTCATGCACCAAAACCCAAACGCCGAATCTCACAATGGTTATCTCCACACGAAAAATCTCACATGAGCAGGTAAAAGATGAAAACTATGATTATTGCCTTATTCGATAGCCGTGGGGGTACCGTAAATCATGTATACTCTCGTCTAGTACTCAACAGGGTGCGTCCAGGCAACGCTTGTAACTGGATCCTTCATCGCGAGAACGCGCCGTGCCACTCCGAACTCAGCGTGTCCCAGTACCTGGCTTCTAAAGGGATCGCCGTGCTGTAACAACCGTCTTATTCGCCCGATATGTCACCCTGTGACTTTTCTTGTTCCCTAGAACAAAATCGGTGGCCAAAGAAGCCTATTTTGAGTCTATTAAGGACATCCAAGTGGCCGTGACGAGGGTACTCGCGGACATCCCAGTCAAAGTCTTCCAGAAATGTTACGAAGTATGGAAAACGCGCTGGAATCGTTGTATACCTGCCCAAGGGGATCACTTTGAAGGGATGGTAGAGTTGTAAAATAATTTTGAAATTTACGGCTTTTATGGATTCAGTCTCATTACTTAATTGTCACACCTCGTATCTTCAATCGGCTGATGGCCAAGTGTCTGGATCATATACTCCGTCTCTATATAACAGCCGAGTAATTCATGGAGTACAGACACATTACATTATGGAATACATTCAAATATAGGAGAAATGACAATCGGATATAATTTTTATTTCTAATAAAATTCTTTTTGATTGAAACAAACATACATATTGTACTAGCATACAATTTTTCAAATTCATTTATATTAAAATTTTATTCTTCTTTTTCTTTATTTGCGTTGGCACTGCTTAGGCATTTATAGCCGAATCAATATTAGAGCGAAATTTGTCGTTTTTTCGCTGTCTGGCGCCAGTTAAAAATACCTAGTTAAGCTAGGTCACTCTCCACCTGATAATTCCAAGCGGAGTGGATGTCATTTTCGTCCTCTTGTTCCATCAGCGGATACTGCATCGAAGAATGGAGTGTTTTCACCCATTCGGATGACATGACCTATCAAGCGCAGTCGCTATCTCTTCATTCGCTGAACTATGTCAATATCATCATATGGCCCGTACAGCTCCTCGTTCCATTGTCTGCGGTATATGGTTGTTTGATGACAGGAGATATTTTGTCTTGCCTTCTTCCACTACCAATCTGGAGAAGCGATCCCTCCATGCATTCAGTATCTGTGTACTACAAGAGTTTGCTCTGGTTTTGAAACCTTCCGTAAGTCGCCATATTTTTTCATACAATTCTCGAGCATTATCCTTGTCGGCCAGACTCTCGATCCCCTCGCACTCACTTCGGCCTCTTTCTTATTTTCTTACAAAAGGATGAGAGGATAAGGCCATGTGCCATTCATCTGGGAGTAGCCTGAAACAATTTGCACATGGTTCAAGCAGCTCACGACTTCCGGTCTTAGGCAAAGTATCGCATGTGTAACCAACAAACATCCGTTTAGAAAACACAAATCCAAAGAAAAACCATAAGAAAATTTAATTTAATTGCCAAAAGTTATATTACTTATTTATAATTTCCCACTATTTCAATTTCAGAATATAATTCTGAGCTGAGCTTTCATGAACTAGCAGAGCTTACCAACGTTAAAAAAATGTTTCATATGCGAGCAAAAATATTATTGTGCACATTCATTTTCGTTTCGTTTAGTAATTGCGATCGTTAAAACACGAACAATCATCAGGGTAGTAGCGAGAGGTGAGTACCAAAACCTTTGCAGCGGAGTTGCGTTAGCAGCGGAGTTACGTTAGCAGCGGATCGCTATGTGTTCATCGAATGAAAAATATTTGTATTATTAAAATGCGTCCCTAAACGTCTGACGCAAGAAAAGCTTTGAACATATACTTAGCTTGGTAAGTTGAAAAATTCTGATGGAAAGCTAAAAATAAGCTTAGTTTTATTATTTACAATAAGTTAAGCGGACAGTGATTGTAACATTTTAGCCAACTTATAGACTTTTTCGTAAAAGAAGCTTTCTAGTGATTAAAAAAAGCTCTCCAATAATTTAAAATGCGCTGAATTCATAATGAAATAGTTCTACTCAAGTACTTAAGTCAACCAAACAGATTTATGCTCGCCATATTGGAATATCTCATTCGTTATTGTGGATGCTTAGCAAATAAATTATCAAAAGCTCTCTTGATTTGGATTCTTCTAAAAGTTTAGTTTGGAAAAATGTCAAAGAAAACAATTGAAATATCGAAAAAGCTCCATTCAACAAACATTTGGAATATTATCAACGAAAAGGAATAATTTTTTAAATCGAGAGCGTAAAATTTTATTGCTTCGAAATGTTTATCAGTTAAGCCAAGGCGAATTCACATACGGTAGTAGCAAGAATACAAAAACAAAAAACCTATGTATTTTGTTGGTGTAATAAAAAGTTCGTAATATCAAAACCTATTTCAAATGTATTTTGCTTGTGTAATTTGTTAAAATGGAAGGAAGAACAAGCAATCATATGACTTGACAACTTCACCTTCTATAAACTTGCCTTGAGTTAAGCCATACTATTAAAAAAAAAAAATGGAACAGAGGCTCTCCTGCATTTTACTAGTTGTATTTACCGAGTGAGTACTGTGTTTATTACAAAGTTCACTTGTTCATTTCAAGTCTCACTTTCACATTATCGCTTGACTGCGTATTTTTTACATTTCTCCATTCTCAGGCGCTTCACGTGCATATAAATGAGTATTTATATATTTTGTACAGACATACATACACATAAATATGTCATTATGTACTTAAGTCATAAGTTTCATACACGCACATTCTTTCAAAGGCAAACTTGTTCGCTCATTTATGTTTTTTTTTTTAAATATTTCATGTATTTTCTTTTTGCTCTCGCCGCTTTCTACGAGTTGACACGCGTGCGCAATTTGTTGCGCACTTCAGTTGTCTCAGTTAGCTATCGGTCTTTCACAAGTGACTACAACGACACCCAAAACAAACTTTGAGATGTCAACGGGAAATGCGGTCGTTAATGAAGTCGCCTAAAATTGTTTATTTATTTATAAATTCGCGAAATAAAGTTGTGTAAAGTTAAGTGAAGCTTCGTCTTTTTCGATTTTGTGTTTTTTTTTTCTTACCAAAATTGTCTGACGCTCTCATTTCATTGTCATTATTAATCCGTTTCACAGATATTTGAAGGAATTGGTTAATAAGCAGCAATCACAAATGCCGACGATATACATATGTATGTATGTATGTATGTTTGTGTATAAATAAATATAGCGACCAGCATCCTCAACGTCATTCAGTGTTTAGCGAATTGTGAAAACCAAAGATACAAACATATATACACATAAAATATACATACAAACATACAAATATAACCGATTGCACGCATATCGTTCGATTTTATGTTGTTTTATAGTTGTGCCGTCATTCAGTTTTGTTGTTGACTTTTGCAGTTTTTGTTACCAACATGAATTAGCAAATCATTTAATTCGGTTACGGAAATTTGCAATTTCTATATATGTATTGATTGCCACAAATAGTGTTTATGTGAGTGTTGTGTAAAAATTTAGTTTGGTGATTTTTTTATTCAAGAAAGTTGCAGTGAAATACCAACAGTAAGTAATAACATATATGTATTGTATATATGTATATGCTTTGTATGAATATTTGGCTGCTTTTTACTGGATTCTAAGAGGAATTGAAAACGAAACGACATAAAATTTTCACCAAATTTATATAGCTCCGTAGGGATTAAAAAGAGTTCGGCAAGTTGACCCGAAAAAAATTGATTTTGTATTTCGTTTGACCTAACCTCAGCTGTCTTGGACTTTCCTGCCTCCATTTTAGCCGATCGTACTAAAATTTGAAAGGGAAACTAATAAAGTATGTATATATTTAACAAAAACAAATTGAAAGTCACCAACTGAGCGAACTTTTGTTAATCCCATCGTATTTTATAAATCTTAATTTGATAAGTTGTACGGGATACGTGTGGGGTGAGATAGATACTGTAAGCTAAATAAGGAAACAAAGCGCACTTGCTGACGTTCTTTGGTACACACAGACGTATGCGTACCTTCGCTGCGAAAAGATAGTGATCCAAGTCGATGTTAGGACTTCGGGACATACACACAACTAAAACACTGTAAACATGCGGTAATTTTGATATGTAATTTTGACATCAACCTGTTGGATGGTCGCACCTTCCCAATTAAGGGACTCGACATCGTGATCGTGATGAACTTACAAGTCATTATAAAAAGGGGAGTCTCTCATCGGAGGCTTTTTTTGATTTTTCATTGGAGTTTACTTTTCATGTGGTTGATAGCAAACCCTACGCACACCGCATGAGATTCGCCTTTTCGCTTTAGTTCGGCTTCAAGCGTATGTCTATCTGTTGACTACCCATGCGATATTTGGTCTAAGACTGGAAGTCGTGAAGTCTAGAACCATATTCAAATCGGGTTTGGTCACTTCCAGGTGACATGCAGCCAAAACCGTTCCTCACTTAAGTGAGCTTCTATCGCTTGGCTGCGTCTATATACCAGTATTAACACCAATTACAATGTCAGCCTTAAAATCCAAAGCAAAATAACCCTTGCCAATCCTTGCTACTTTGGACTGAGTAGACAATTGAAAAGTAAAATGCTCTCTCGACGAACGAAGGCCAAATGTAAAAGTCACACGTCGTTTACGTCCTACTATAAAGAGCAGTTCAGCGAAAGAAAAGTATACGATGCAGTACCCGCTGGTGGAAGCAGAGGAAGCGGAAGACCCTCGCTCTGTTGGAAGGATCAGTTAGAGAGCGATCTGGTCTCACTTGGAATTTCCAACTTCTTCATTTTTTTTGCGCAATCTTTAGCCCCTGAACAATCGAAACAGTGCTAACTTGACGGTCGGACTCGGATTCAACGAATCTCCAAGATCTTAAAGACATTTTCGACAACTGTCCATCAATTCTGTGAAGCACCTTTTACATCAAAATTACCGGAATCAAACAGAAATTTTGCACAATTGAATGTAAAAATAGCAGAACCATAAGTGCCACTGCTAATCTCCATCTTTGACACATGCTGAATCAACCAAAAACCATCAAGAAAGTTTTTTTTAGTACGAAATGTCATGTTTCTAACGCCATCTAGCGGCACTCGACGGGACTTATACAACGCGAGATACAGATAGATATAGATAACCCCATTTAGGTTGATTGGAAAGATAATAGATTTCTTTTACTACACCTAATATAAGAGAGTATGAAAATATGCCACTCAAAAGTAATCATAATTATAAACACTTATGTAAATATATATCATCATTTTCATATATCATCTAGGGATTCAAATTATACGGTAGTTTCCCCAAATGTTGTTATTACTAGATGACTTTTAGACACCTTCCAATCTCTGACTACTAAGTTATTCGCTGTTCTATTGATGGAACAATAGAGGAAGAGTGAAATGATTAGGTTATAATATTACTCACTCTTGCGAGATTGTCTCTTTGCTTTGCGGTGTAGCCAAATGTTCATTCGATGTCTCTTCTTTTAGTGAATCTCCCTCATTATTAGTATTAGAGACCTACTTCTAATTGATCTGCTGGTACGACTCAGTGGAATTTATGTTGATTGAAGTGAAAGGGTTTTATTTTATCACGTTAAGAATTGGAATTGAAATTCCTAAAGGTGTTAAAGTAATAAACTTTAATAATTTTATTATACTCTCAATGCTCAATGGAGTTTTCCTCGAACTGAATTTAAACAAAAAGTTTTCAAAGTGTACATTCAAATTAAGTATAAATTTTATGATCCAATGATTATTAATTATGAGTTAATTTGAAGTTTTTCTTTAATATTTTAGTAAAATAATTTAAACAAATAAAGCTAAGCATCGTATGCTAAACAGAAATGCATAAAAACTTATTCATATTTCAGCAATAGCATTACTGATTTTATAACAACTAATCGGTGCTAATTCATCCCCGTGCTGTTGACATCTTTTGATTACGAAAAGCACACAAAGTACAATGCAAAAAATGCAAAAAACGCAAAATAAAATTTATTGTAAATATAAAAGCAGAGAGATTGCGTAGGTTGATATTTTCGATGAAAATAAAACATTTTTCAATATTTGGTTGTTTTTATAAGTCGCATCTTGCATAGATTGCGATTTTTTTTCACTGAAGGACAAAGCAGTTTCTCACACGGCGATTTCACTATTTTAATATGTCTATATATGTAAATGGAAATCCTAAATTAGTTACTTTAGTATAAATTTATAAAAAATAATTTATTCTGTTGACACTTCAAGAGCAAAAATAAATATACAAACGTAAGTATGATAAATCAAACGGAATGAAGAGTACAACAAAGCTAGATTTTAATTAAAAATGATTGGCTGATGAGCAAATATTAAGTGACATATCATTAAATTATCTGAGCGGTGCTAATGAACAGGCCAACCAACATTGAGCTAATTGAATGAAATATAGCCGGTTAATCAAGGTTATGTATGTGCAGTTAGCGTTGCTCCTTTCCATATCACAACGATGCGCTTCTGTAAATCAATCCGTTGACTAAAAATTATTATTCAGCGTGAAGAAAAACTTTTTTTGTTTTGCACGTGGCTGTGCATTAAGAGGTTTTATTTTGGCATTAAAATAAAAACAGCATTCTTTGAGATAAAACATCGGACGTTTATTTCAAAGTAAAGAGGAAGACATGCAATTTATAAAGGAAATCAATATCATCCAAATGACCCGCCATGGCTACGCTAACAGGGCCCTAACCTTTTTATGAAAATTTCTATAGCCAAATCGCGAAATAACTCTTGTATGCTTCACGAAAACCAATTTTAAGGTCTTGAATCGATGTTGACCACCTAAAGTAAAAAGTCGCAAGTTGTTAAGCCACAAAATATCTGTCGCCAATTGCGTTAATCTCTTTGAAAGATAATATGGTCCGGAAACTTTTTCCCTTAAAGAACGATGGTTTCGTTGTTTGTGTGGCACGTAGCGTTGGCCAGAACAATCCCAACCAATTCCAATTAAAAAAATCATTCATTAGTATTGGACGTTGAGCATGGAGAGGTGGTTCAATAATAAATATTGGATTTTCCGAACTCCAAAAGCAACATATTTGCTTGTTGACGTAGCCATTAAGGCACCATCGGTCAAGATGGTTTGTCCATGAAATTCAAGGATCCAGTCGGGAAACACAACGACGTTGTTGATGATACGGTAGCTTGAGTTCTTGTGTTAAATGAACTTTAAACGCTCTAAGACTAGAATTTTTATGTAAAATACAGTGTAAAGACGTTTGTGGAATACCCAAAACAGCACGAAGAATGGATTTTCTTCAACACTTTGGGCTACAGCAGCAATATTCTTAGTTGTTCTTGAGCGACATGAATATGCTTTATTCTTTATATTACTAATATGTCCCAATAGATCCATTTTATCCAGCAATTTCTCTATTGCAGACCGACAAGATGCTTTACCATGACCGAAATATGTTCAAATTTACTAACTGTCTCTGCCAGATTTTCGTAATTTTTTTAGTGAACTTTAATAATTTCAATGCTTTGTTGAAGCTTATAACGCTTCATTTTTATTAACGGTATAGTTTTTACTTGTCAAATGTCGAAAAATTACAGTTTCAAAAGCGACATCTACCGGAATAGCAAGCTATTCAAAGATGACACCTATTATTGGAAAACCCTAAATAAAATAGAGTATCAACATGTTTTGAATCCAGTGACATCTGAGGTTAGTTTTTTGTACACATACGTCGGTTGAGTCTTTTATTTTTCATAACAGTATTTGCTGTCATAGCCAGCATTTTAGAAAAACTTTAAATTACAAATGAAATGGATTATAAACGTATATTTTTCTGCTTAAACCATTTTTCATATAAGTTTTTACCGATAAAAGCGGGTGATTAGAACTTAGTATTGTCATCCACAAGACCACGATTTGAGTCCTTGTTCGACTAAAAGTTTTTCATAAAAAAACATCAGCCGTTCGCAGGCGACTTGGTGTAAACTAAAGGTCCAGAAATATTGCGGAAAACATAAAGACGTACAACCACAAATGGAAGGAGGAACTCGGCCGAGACTCCCACACAAAGAGCTAAGTACGTACTATTATAACAATGACAAACGCTGATGCTCCTTTTTTTCAGAAGCTGTTAGATTTTGTGATTATTTTTCGGTCTGGAATTAGAGATAGAATAGATTTGGCTACATTCTCTAAGAAGAATACCAAAATTTCAATATCATTGAATACATTTTTCAGTTATGTAAAGTGCCTGCAACAATACCCATAAATATAATTTTAGAGACGTGTGGCTCATAAAGGAGTTCGGGATCTCCATTTCTCTTTTTATATTATGAAATTATTTGGTGGAGATCGGCGATGAGTAACGGGTGAAAAAATGATGTGGGCTGACGATTCCATTTTTTAAGAAGGAGGAGGAGAATTTATTTAAACGATGTGGATTCTCAAAAATGTTGTAACTACTCGGCTACTCTGCCTTCTTAGACAGTTTAATTTCCCCATTTTCAAACCGAGCAGCATCGATCGGAAAACAAACTTTCCTTAATTGGTAGGTGGCGTCTGT